CAGATTTGTAAGAGGTAGGGAATTAAAGAAGCATTTGTAAGAAGGTGTGATGGACATTTTATCTAAATGTATGACGTACACGGTGCTGTAATAGCATGTAACACAAGCACCTAGCCTTGTGAAGAGGGCTCATTTTCTGCAATCACAGTAAAAATTGAGATTGAAGGATTTATATTACTTCAGAAAGAGAGGGCATGTCTTAGTCTGCTGGGGTCGCCATATCAGAATCCCACAGACTAGGCATCTCAAATACCAGAATTTATTTCCTCACAGTTTTGGAGGCTGGAAGTTCAAGATCAAAGTGCCAGCAGGGTTGGTTTCTGGTAAGGTCTCCCCATAGACGTCCACTTCACTGTGTCCTCCCAGAGCCTTCTGTGTGTGCGGAGGGAGTGGAGAGCTCATGCTCTAATGTCTCTTCGTCTCATAAGGGCACTAGTCCTGTTGGATTAGGGCCTAATCTTTTGACCTCATTTGACCTTAATTACCTCCTTAAAAACTTTAGCTCAAAAAGTAGTCACATTAAGGGTTAGGGCTTCCAACATATAAGTGTTGGGGGCAGACACATTTCAGTCCATAACAGGGGAGCAGAGAGCATTCTGGGTACGTGGAATAGTTCAGGAAACCATGTAGAGGCAGAAAAGTGAGGAACTGAAAGGGGCCAGTGTGGTTTGAGCATGGGGTGCCTAGAGTGTGAGGGCCCTGCTGAAGGCTGAGGTGAAAGGAAGTGAGGCCCCGGTTTGAACCCTCTCTAGGGTAACAAATCTTGGGTCCTTCACTTATTGTTTTAAGTTTCAACACTACAAAAAAGAGCTCTGGACTAAGAGCAGAAGATCTAGAGCTTAATAACTGACCTTGGGCAAATCATTTGTTTGGAGCCTATGTAAAAATCAGGAATTATAACCCTTAACTTTTAGGACTGTTTGATCATATAAGGTAAAACCTGTGAAATGTCTTAGAAACCGAAAACTGTGTAATTACTGAGGTTGTTTTTTTTTTGTTTTTTTTTTTTTAATCTTTCACCAGACCAACTAGTTTTTCCTGCCAAAAGGTCATGAATTTGTGACTCACGTGCTCAAAGCTTTGCATGAACCACTGGCCCTCTCCGTATCTCTTATAGAGCCCCTCAATCCAATATTCTTTACCATTTTCCCCTCTAAAATAAATTAGGATCCTTTGGGGATTAAAAAAGTCATGCCACTCTGTTTGAAAAATGTCCCTGTTATTCCCAATTATCTTATTTCTTCTGTCCCGTATTTGTCTTGCTTAACCAGAATTTTTCAGGATGCCTGGGTGGCTCAGTCAGTTAAGCATCCAACTTCAGCTCAGGTCATGATCTCACACTTCGTGGGTTTGAGCCCTGCAGGCTCTGTGCTGACAGCTCAGAGCCTGGAGCCTGCTTCAGATTCTATGTCTGCCTCTCCCTACCCCTATCCCACCCACGATCTATCTCTCAAAAATAAATGAATGTTAAAAAAACAACAACAACGATTTTTCTGAAGTTTCCACACTGCTACTGTGCTTCTCTGCCTTCCATGCCACAAGGACTAATAGTACCTTTCTCAGCTCTCAAAGCACTTCCTGCCATCGTTCACATAACCTCTGAAATCCTGTCTTTTTGTGCACTAATTTTCTGACTGACTCAGAAGTGGTAATTTTCACTGGAACATGTCACTTTATTTTCCATCACACCCAAGTGTCTTGTTATTTTGTGCAAAATATACATGCATTGAATATCTTTATGTGTTTATCTGTGAGGTATAATATAAAGTAAGATGACTATTTTTGGTATACATCAGAATGTCAACCTAAGTCAGTGTGGTCCCTTGAGAAGTTACATACTTTACCTCTATGAGATTTTATATTCTCCATTTCCCCTGGCCTTTTTTTTTTTTTTTTTAAGCCATCTTCAATTCCTTATATATTGAAATAATCCAGGAAACTAGCAAAAAGAATTTAAAAAACCCAACAATGTTCATAAGGAAATGAAACTTAATGAAACTGATTTACATTACTTATCAGATGTGGTCTTTCATAACTTCTCTTTATTTGTGTGGTTTTTGCTTTATTTGAATAGAAGACTGACCTTGTCATCATAGAAGTGTGTTTACTGCCATTTAATTAATATTATAAAAGAACTTACTCTTAATTTTTTTTTCAACATTTTTTATTTATTTTGGGACAGAGAGAGACAGAGCATGAACGGGGGAGGGGCAGAGAGAGAGGGAGACACAGAATCGGAAACAGGCTCCAGGCTCTGAGCCATCAGCCCAGAGCCTGACGCGGGGCTCGAACTCACGGACCGCAAGATCGTGACCTGGCTGAAGTCGGACGCTTAACCGACTGCTCCACCCAGGCACCCCAAAAGAACTTACTCTTAATTACAGCAATAGCACAGAATTTAAATTGCTTTCCAGGATAGAAGGGAGAATTCAGAGAAAACAAATAAAGGTTCCTGAGGGTAGAAGCAAACCCAGTCCCAAAGCTCCCTTCCTGATGCAGTTAACTTTTATTTATTTTCACTCTTGAAGCAGTGTGACCATTTGCAGTAAAGTCGCAGAGTTCTTTTCATGAGAAGACGATCAATATAAGTAATCATTTAAGGATGAAGGTGACTAAGCTGTGCTCAACACTAGTACTTGAAGTACTTATAAAAAACATGAATTGACTTTGCTTAAATTTCAGAAAATAAAATGTTAGTCCACATAACCACATTTTCTCAACACTGGAAAATTCTAGTCTATAATTTACCTGCTTGCTAAGAATAAAAGTGTTCCTTAAAGGTTTATTGACTTTTTTTTTTCCAGAAATAGATTTAACGCATAGGATTATTCCATTTCCATCTGTGCTCTCTATACCACCACCTAGTGGAATAAATGCAAGTTTACCCATCATTTCAAGTCAGGGGAAGGAAATGAGGAAGATGAAAATTAACTCACACCAGTATTTTCGTGATGATGAGTTATTGCTTTTAGTGTAATGCAGGTTGCGAAAAATACATGAGTTTAGAGTGAAAAAAGCCCAGACATTTATGTGTTCTCTAATAAAATGCTTATCTGCCCACAAATAAGCCATTTCATTCAGAAACGTAGAAGATAGATAAATGACTGAAGATGTGTCCTGCAGATTGTATTTCTAAGTTCTGTTGGGGAGCTTCTCTTCATTACTCAATACGAGGGTTCATAAAATTAAAAAAAATATATTAATCTTCACAGTTCCTCTGAGATGAAAATATCATTGCATTTACTTAACTGATAGGTAAATAAAAGTGTGGAGATAAGATAGTCAGTTTTTATCAAAGCTGAGAAGAAAGGCAGGTTTGTATTATTATTCTGAAGTTTTCTGTCCCAAACATTGAAATAAAAAAGGCAAATGAAGTTTTAAGTCTCTTCACTCTTTATTGGTAGGTGATTCCTGTTCAGCCCCAAGTAAGAACAAATCCAGACAGGTAAAACACCAAAACCTGTTGTTGCTTGCTGACTCTGGTCATCCAAGCCTTTCTTGTTCTTGTGAACTCATGTTCACATGGAGTGCAAATGGAATCATGTTCCCTTTTTCTGAGGGTTGCATGCCTTTTAGATGGCATCAGTGTGCACATATAGAGACACATTTTTTTAATGTCTGTGAATATTTTACCTACCTGATTCTTTAAAAAAATTTTTTTAACGTTTTATTTATTTCTGAGACAGAGAGAGACAGAGCATGAGCAGGGGAGGGGCAGAGAGAGAGAGGGAGACACAGAATCCGAAGCAGGCTCCAGGCTCTGAGCTGTCAGCACAGAGCCCGATGCAGGGCTCGAACTCACAGACCACGAGATCATGACCTGAGCCGAAGTCAGATGCTCAACCAACTGAGCCACCCAGGTGCCCCTTTACCTACCTGATTTTTGATGACCTGGCCATAAGTAGTGAGTGAGGGGCCTTGGGCCAGTAGGTAATAGAAGGGAGATGTAATGAAATTCAGAAGAAAATACCCCCAAATCCACTTTTAGCTAGTTCATCAAAACAAAAGCCACAAAATCAGCTGTAATTGAGTCTCTTCTTATTCTGTCCATGACAGACTCTTACCACCGTCTAGTCAGACCAGACTCTAGTGAAGACTGGACACAAGTGTTTTATATCCCAAGACTGTAATAACACTGGACTTGTTTTCTATTTCCAGTGGTCTTGAATTGCATAGAATAGCCCAGTAGCCTTTTTTTTTTTTTTTTTGCCTTTATAATACATAGCCCTTAAGGCTTTCAGTCTTTCAATTTTCCTCCTTAGTAAACAACTGACAGTAATTACTTATGAAAACTGTTTTATGCTGGAGATATTTATATGGTTTTGCATTGCTGGCTTATGATTTTCCAGTGTTTGTGGGAAAGACAATTTTCTATCTTTGTCATTCACGTTATAAATTCCTGAATCCTTCATTCTCTGGCTTTTAGGGGGATATTTATCTCCTCTGGTATCTTTGCCTCTAAGGAGGCTACACTCTTGCTGTCTGCTTCCTGTGACAGTTGTGGAAATGGCACACTCACCTGTGCCTGCCACCTGCTGGAGGCCCTGGCATGTCCTGAAGTAGCAGTAGTCAGTGAACATAGAAGGGGAAACTAAAAAAGCAAATATTACATTTCCTCTCCACAGACTAAAGTCATGTCTGGGTTCTTCCCTTTTTCATTTCCCAATCAGTGCAACATTGCAAGGTGTTATATAGCTAGTTGTCAAAAAGGTACCTCTCCTCTTAAAACCCTACTCACGCACAAAAAAAACCAAAAGTTGACAAATTGGCTTTTTTCCCGAAAATCCTGACTCAGAAGGCAAAGCAACATGAAACTTCAGCACTCCATTCTTTGTGTTTTGTTCCTAAAAGACCATCTGGCTTTGTGTAACTCAACTTTAGAAGGAACAGCGCCTGTGCCTAGACAGCCCCTCTGGGAGGTAGTTACAGATCTATTCTAGACTTTACGACTGTTGTCTACATTTAAATTAACAGTCATGTGTACTTTTATTTTATTTTAGCCTTCCCTTGGAGTCAAGAAGCCTACCAAAGCCCTGCTCTTTGTAATCTTGAGCCCAGTGGGACCTTATTTTTCAAGTGGAACCTTTAAGCCTGTGTCCCTGTGGGCCAATCCGAAGTATGTCAGAGCCTGGAAAGGTGGGACTGGGGACTGCAAAATGGGAGGGTAAGTAAATCTGTGTCTCTATCTAAAGGAAAGAGCCCCTCACTACCACTGAGTTCTTTTCATCCCACATCAATCCAAGTACATATATTAATAGTCAAGTTGAAATGCTCTTTTTTGCTTTGTGTTTACTCTCCAGTATTGAATTGTGCTAAAGTGTGACCCTTTGTAAGGGAGAACCAAAGGCAAGGACTGGAAGAAGGGACTAGAGCAGGAACAGCATGCATGCTCTGAATGAACTGTCCCTGGAGGCTGTGTCTCTGGCTGCAGGCGGACAGGTGGCCTTAAAGAGCATCTGGTGCTGGGGCAGAGGCTCTCAGTTGGCTCCAAGGAGTCCTGTCTGGGGAAGGTGCCCGCTTCACTCAAGTGCTGTCTTCATTGCCACAGATTGTAGCCCTACCTGCTGCCAGCTGGCCGAGGGACAGCCCTGCTTTGGCTCTGTCAGGCCGGTCTCATTGGCCATATGTAGCTGGCTGGAAATAAAAGAGCATTTAAAAAGTGTTAGACAATTTCAGGGGTGGACTTGGCCGTGACATGAGAATGCCCCTCTGGGTGAACAAGAATAGCCGGATTAACCAGTGTGGGCTCTTCCTTTGTGTGCGTCAAGTGCTGATGTGTATCACAGATACAGGCAGCAGCAGTCCTGGGAGGCGACTCGGTGGCAACTTCTGGGCTGTGGGAAAACATGTAGGTTCTGGGAGCCCTGGGAGTGTTCAGTGACACACTGCTGGGATGTGAGAGAGGTGTTGACAGCTGGCTTTGAACCCTCTATAGTCTTTCTGTATTTTTATTTTTAAGAGAGAGCATGAGCGGGGGCGGAGCACAGGGAGAGAGAGAATCCTAAGCAAGCTCCACACCCAGGCAGAGCCCGACTCAGGGCTTGATTCCATGAACCTGGGGTCATAAACTGAGCGAAAATCAAGTTGGATGCTTAACTGACTGAGCCACCCAGGTGCCCGTTTTTTTCTTTCCTACAAAAAAAAAATTCTCTCTTTCTCTCTCTCTCTGTCAAAAATAAATAAATATTATAAAAAGAATAATAAAAGAGAAATGGCAAGTGGGAGGCAGTAACTTACAAATGTCTGTTGTTTCCAAGAGGTTCTAAAGCTCCTATGCTCTCCACCCGGAGAAGTGCAAGGAAAACACAGGATTTTGCATTTAGTATTAACCTATTTGGTTGGCAGAGACATTTGGCAGCAGCCTTAGATTTATATGTTATTGCTTCTTCTCTAAGCCAATTAATTCAACAATTACCTTCCAAGATTTTTAGGACCTCTTTGTCAACTGGAATTTATTAAATAGCTGTGGATTCTCCTAAGCTGAAGAACTTTCTGCTTCCTAAGTGAATCTGAGGAAAAGAGAGAAGGATTTTTTAACTTCTAAGATTACTCCACCTGTTTTGAAGCCACCAGCGATAGTAATATTATTTTATATCTAAATATACATAAGTGAGGGAAGTAATACAATGGCACACAGCTGCGGGAGAGTTGTAGCACAGTGCTCACCTGTGGTTAGTGTGGAAATCAGCTGTACCAACTACTACTCTCTGGGTCCCCCGACTAGAGATTCTGGTTTGTTTGGTCTGCTCTGTAGCCTCGCATCAGAATATATTAATGTGTAGCCAAAGTTGAGAAGCACTGAGCTAGAAGAAGGTCCTCCATCGTAGGAATGTCTTATTCCCAATTTCTTAGTTTCTTAGTCTGGAAGGAATGGGGCCTGCTGCCTTCTTTCTACTCTATCTTAATTTTTCCTCTTTCTTTTTTGTTGTCTTGTACTCTCATTTGGCACTTAACTACAAGCTTTGAAGTCAGATAGACCTGGCTTAACCTAACTGCCTTGGGATGTTACTTAACTGCTTTAAGCTTCACTTTCCTCATTTATAAAGTTAGGCCAGTGATACCCACCTTACCTGTGAGAATTACTTGGGATAGTATAAAGTGCCTACTACCATGTGGTCAACCTATAGAAAGCTCCCAATTAATGTGTTATAACCTAGCAGTTAACAATGTGGGCTTGGTAGTCAGAGATATGGGAGTCATATGCTTGTCATCTGTGTGATCTTACATAATTAACTACCCTCTTCCTCTAAGTCCTCAGAAGTATAATAAAGTCTAGTGTTGTTGTAAGATGAATCAGTGAAATAATGGGCTTAAGTACCTAGTTCCCTGCCTGGCAGGTACTAAGCATCCTGTCAATAGACAATAGTTGATATTCTGAAGCTTGCTTTCTTGTTTCATCTCCTGGCCCTGTCTTTTTTTTTTTTTTTTTTTTTTTTTAACGTTTATTTATTTTTGAGACAGAGAGCATGAATGGAGGAGGGTCAGAGAGAGGGAGACACAGAATCTGAAACAGGCTCCAGGCTCTGAGCTGTCAGCACAGAGCCTGACGCGGGGCTCGAATTCACGGACTGCGAGATCATGACCTGAGCTGAAGTTGGCCGCTTAACTGACTGAGCCACCCAGGCGCCCCTCCTGGACCCTGTCTTAAGTGCAATCTGTTGGATTTCACACAAGAGAATTTACTCTTTTGGAGAGATATATTTAATATCTCTTCTCCTAGATATTTATTCCACTTATAATTAAAAATTTTCTGTGTAGACAGTTTTCCAACTTTTTCATTTTTCTCTTTTTCCAAAGACATGTGTTTCTTTTCTGAATATTGGCAGCACATGAGAGGGAACCCAAATATATTATCAAAGTATTCATGACCCGTGGATATTAATAATACAGTTTACACCTGAGGGAGAATTTTGAGGAAAAACTCATGTGGGGAAAAACACTACCTATATAATATAGTAATCAGTCAATCAAATAAGCACCAAACAAGTAAAACCCCCTTTTTCTTTCAGTATACTGGAACACTTGAGGTTTTTAAATTCTCTTTCTTGCCCAAGTAGCTTCATGATGCCAAAGAATCATGGTTTTAGTTCAACCAACACCCTCAAAAGTGTGTGTGTGTGTGTGTGTGTGTGTGTGTGTGTGTGTGGGTGTGTTTAGAAGGTTCTTGGAAAGGCTAGTTATTCATGCTGTGAAAATTCTGTTAATGTTAATAAAGAGGATTTTATGAGAGAAATCAATTATTTTTAGATTTGGAAAATCTCACTGGTTGTGTCTATGAACTAGAGAGAAGCCAATTAAAATAGAAGTCATTTTTTTAAAAAAAACTTAATTTCATTAGGATATAAGAGGCTCACATAAACTGTTTCTTAGCTTTTATTGTTACTGTTTCATTTTGTTCTGCATAACTCTATGCAGTATACAAAAAAAGTTTTTGCACTTGCCAGAAGAATTTGTTAAGGCAAAAATTTCAACTGACTTGCTTAAGTTCACACATAGCCAAATAGTAGAAGTACAAGAGCTGTATATAGGCCTCCTGGCCCCAAACCTGTGCTCTTTCTATTGGACTCCCCTCTGAAGCCTTGTTTGTTGTTATTAAAACGTATTCATAATTTTAACTCCACTTATTGCTTATTTACCACTAGTTCTGAATATGGGTGGCCTAAATTTTATGCTCATTAAATAAAATCCTCCTATGTATAAGTGTGGTATCATCTCCAGGTGCACCAATAAATTTACATTTTACTATCTGCATTTTGAAGGTCTTTTAATGAATCTTGTATTACTTTGATGTGAGTAAACCTCATGACTCAGGTTGCTATACCTATATAGCATAATGCCCATTTTTCATCGTTTTTCTAGGATGTTTTAGTTATTAGTCAATACTCTTTGAGTTGCAAGTGAGAAAACCAACTCAAGGTGTGCCTGGCTGTCTCAGTCCAGTGCCTGCATTAATAGGAATGAGTGAATAAGAAGGGCTTATGTGAGCAGCCTGGTTACATGTCCATCCATTAATTCAGTTGTGCAGGGCGAGGTATTGTGACTGTCACCCCAAGCAGAATGACTTGGCTCCAAAGGAAGGGCCAAAGAGAATATTAATGGGAAGGCAAGCCGTGTAGTTGAAAATGGCAGATAGCCGCCATGAATATGGTTCTTGTGTTTAAATTATACTTCTTTTTTTTTTTAATGTTTGTTTATTTTTGAGACAGAGAGAGAGCATGAGTGGGGGAGGGGCAGAGAGAGAGGGAGACACAGAATCTGAAGCAGGCTCCAGGCTCTGAGCTGTCAGCACAGAGCCTGGTGCAGGGCTCAAACCCACAAACTGTGAGATCATGACCTGAGCCAAAGTCAGACACCTAACCGACTGAGCCACCCAGGCGCCCCTAACTTATACTTCTAATTAGACATTTTGGTCTTGACCAGATATAAAAGAGATAATTTAAAAGGCCTAGGTGGGTATTTTGTGGAAGATGACATTCATGCTTTGTAGTAGTTATTGTTGTATGTTTGGTTGTTTCTGCTTGTTTGTATGGGAGCAGCATAATCGAAGGATGGGTTTAGGGTTTATTTCCAAGCCCTGCTTGTCATATGGTAGTGTTTTCCCAACTTGTTTGCTAATGTCCTGTGAAAGCCCAGGAAAGTGAATTAAACAACCAGGGGCTTAGGGAGGCAAGCAAACATCACATTTATTTGAGGACTCTTATGTTTTATCGAAAACATTCATCCATATTTTGTAATATACTCCATAATTTTCTCATTTAAGTTTAATAAAAGATAATACATTTAAAATACTAAACTAAACTGCTATCCTAGGAAGATGTACTGTCTTCCTTTGATTTTGAATAAATAGTGCAGGGTGAGAAAAATGGGCTTTTGGAATACTTTTGGCTAAAATCAGGGTTTTTAACATTTTGTCCCACCCTTTGGAGAATTTAGGCATTGGGCATTAGCTATTCCTTGGGTACATTGAAAGGTCTCAACTAAGAGCACAGCTTGGTGCTCTACTACTTAATGTTATTTGATATGAGTTTGGCCAACTCATAGTACTGGTATGAGATTTAAATGAAATAATTCATGGACAATTGTTTGGAATGTGAAAAATACTTTTAACTGTTATCATTAACTTAGCTATTTACCTCTTTTCATTATCTCTACTTTTCAAGTTTGTATTTTGCTGTGTTCTTTCTCAAATGAGTGCAATTAGATCATTTAGCTTCTCTAATGAGTTTCCTTTAACATTAGGCAGTTAACTAGAGAATGTATGTGCATACATACGTGTGTGTGCGCGCACACATAAAGGAGATGTGCATTGATCACATGCACATGCAGATTGGTACCAAAGATGAGGGAGTGGTATATTCATAATCAATGTATTTTCTCTTTCTTAAAAGGAATTATGGCTCATCCCTTTTTGCCCAATGTGAAGCAGTGGAAAACAGCTGTCAGCAGGTTCTGTGGCTGTATGGAGAGGATAATCAGATAACTGAAGTTGGAACCATGAATCTTTTTCTTTACTGGATAAATGAAGATGGAGGTAATTCACTCAGATTTCAGCTCTTTGTTCTTTGTCAGTCATTTTCAATAGGGCTGGAAGGAAAAGAACTAGGACCTTGGAACAAGGAATAAGTAGCACAGGTCCAAAGGCTAAGGACCACTGTGCTTTGTTGTTCAAGTAGAAATGAGTTTAAATTTACAGAATTTATAAAGGTTTTGGTTTCGGTTTTTGGCTCTAGATGTGCTTATCATTGAGATGCCAACTTAAGGAATTTAAATCCCCATGATTTGAAGATTCGTAGCCTTATCCCCTCTGCCATCTTCTTAACAGCTTTTCTATCTGAAATCCCCTGCATTTGGAGATAGGTCTCAGATCAGTTCACCGTATACTATATGTATAAAATGTAATAACAAGCATCGTCTACTGATTCTACTGATATGAGATTTAGTGTATTCTCTTGCCAGAAGTCTTTTAACAACTGATGCCCTTTCTACATATTTTGATAATATATCAGGAGCCTTCCAGATTTACTCTGGAGCTCAATTTGATTAAAACACACTATTTTTATGGACAAATTCGTCCCTTTTAGGATTGTACTTAGATTCTGGTTCATTCAAGACTGTTAATAGGTATCTACTATAAAAACCAGTTATTTCTATATTACCTAAAATATCCTAAATGCTCATTATCTTTCTTTTCTGTTTTTTTTTAATTAGTTGGCAGAAACCATAGAGGTTTAGTGAAGCATTGGCAATGTCGATGGTATTGGATTAAATGGCCAATCATGGGGAAAAATACAGATAAAGGCATTTATTTCCATTAGAATTTTAATAGTCACAAAAAATTTTAACTATCTTTTTAGGCTTGTTTATGTTCTTATGCCGTTCATTTCACAGTACTGAGTATAGAGACTAGAAAAAGTTCCCAAACACTTATAAAGTCTGAGTGTTCATTTCAATTAAAATTTTAAGTAAAATTTTTATTTTGAGGTAGCTACAGTAACTTTTCTTGCCCTTTTGTTTTTTGGCTACTAATGTTGGAAAATGGTGATTCACATGTGGCTGACTTCAGAGCTATGCACTAATTTGAGCATTAGTTGTAGAAACTAGTAAGATGAGCCTTACATTCCAGTCAGAGGTAGAATAAATAGAAGGTATGGTGAGTACACCTTGTCCTGGGGTTGACCATTGGTAATCCTTGGCATCTGAAAAGCCAGATACAGGTCATGCTGATTCTTCCATTCCTGTTGTTTATACTTGGCACTATTTAAAAATAAAATTTATACTGGAATATTCGTGATTTCCAAATCTGAGTCATTGCCTATGACCTACCTCAAAAGCTATGCTTGAAAGATGACAGTCAATGTTGCACTCTGTATTTAGGAGATAATAGGTTGATTCAACTCATTCTTTGCACCGCCTGCCCACTCCAACGCCCTTGCCCCCCCACCCCCAAAAGAAAACCATACAACCCTAAACAAAAACAGTTACATCATACAGAAGTGGTACCATCATTATTTATGGATGGAAGATGTCAAGATTTAAGTACAGTTTGAATCAGAGCTCCATGATTTAACCAAGAACACAAGAAACTTGTCCTGGTGAAAAATTACTTCTTATCCAAACAATAATCATGAGCCATTTCCGCCATGGCTTTTAAAGGTCAGAACGGAAATGAGTGAATTTGTCTTCTGACTCTTACAAAATATACAAGACCTTAAGAGTTGCTATTCACATTATGGTTGCCTGAGATAGCTTTAGTCCATCTTGAGGGTGTTCACCTAACATATCAAATAAAATTTGAAGTAAGGGGACAAGAGATGGAATAAATGTTTGGACAGTACCATGAGAGAAGTCAGTAGAATGTAAGGAATAACCTTTAGGCTAAAAACAAAAGAAGACATTGAAAGAACTCTACTCTAACTTCACCATGTGGCTTTAGGAAAATACAAAGAATAATGAGTTGAAAATCAACAAAATACTGATTTTCATAAACTTTGCCTATTGGAGGTATGAGTAGAACTCTTTTAGGAAAAACCTACCTTCTTTCTATGAGCCCCCACACTCACTGCCCCTTTGGGACATGATGGCTGCTGCAGAAAGGTATATAAAATAGATAATCTGTGTTCACAGCACAGTGCTGTGCACAGTAACTATCTGTGGCAGTTGGCCTCTAACCCATGTGGTTTTGGCTCTAGTAACAGCAACCCTGGTATTAAGATCACACAGCAGCGATTCTCTGTTTTACTGTGTTGGTGAGTAATTTAACATACACATTTGCTATTCACTGTTGGGACAAACAGTTTTATCTCGCACTGGACTTTGGGGCTGTCCTGAGAATAAGACCCAGTTGTGTGGTTGAGTTTAGAGTTAGTCTGGGAGAACGATCATGACAGTGAATGTTGATGTCGCTCAGTCTGCTCAGGCCCCATGAGCCTTCTCAGACATCAGGCATTTACAGACTTTGGAACATTCTTCCCTGGGATGTGGGCGTGGCTTGCTCTGTCACTGCTTTCAAGTCTTTGCCCACTTACCCCATTCTCAGTTAAGGCTTTCCTTGAGCATCGTAATCAATTGCAAACTCCCTCCCCCCTGACCCCTAGCATTCCTCATTATCTTCCCTCTTTTTTTTTTTTTCCTTTTTTTCTCCATAGTCTAACATACTATTTAACATAATAATTGTTCTCTACCCATTAGAAAGTAAACAGGAATTATATCAGTTTTGTTCACTGCTTTATTCATAGTGCATAGATAAGCCAACTGCACACAGTGCCTACCTCGATAATGTATATTTGTTGAGTAGATAGTAATTGTGTGTGCTTGGGCACTCCTACAAACCCACATTCCCAGTTTTTATTAGAAATTGACTTTGGGATGTCACAGATGACTCCTGCCGTTATTGCTTCTAAATTCTTCAACTCCTAAAAATGATTTCTTTGTCAAAAACAAGTTGTGTTTGTAGGCTCTGTTTTCCTCATGTTGGGCAATCTGGAGCTAGTTCTGGCTCTTGTAAGCATGTTTGTGGTTGCAGAGGAAAATGAATATTTCTCACCCAAATGTTGTCATGTCATCATCTCTGTCTGGCAACCCGAGAAACAGATGTTCTGTGTCTTGACCTTAGGCTAGTGGTTACAGTTTTGGGTGTTAAGTATATTTCACAGAACTACACTTGCACATGCGAGGCCGCTGTTTTTATTTAACTTGATATAGCCTTAGAGCTCAGCAAGCTTTAGGGAAGGTCCAGTTTGGAGGCACTGGAAGTATGTTTGTCTATATGTGTGGGGTATATGTGTGCACATACACACACACACACACACACACACACACACACACACACAGAAATCCCTACACTTATGTATCCAGCCAGCTAGCTATTGCAAAGCACAGGTTTATTTTGAGATCAACACTTCTAAACATGACAAAGAGTAGCCCTAAGAACATTGCCAAGAACAAATTTTCTTCTTTCCAGAAAGCGGTTTTCAGCAGATGATTTTTAGAAACAAACTTGAAAAAAATCATACTGCTGTCTCCTAGCAAAGAGGATTATTCATTTATTTATTTTTTTTATTCAGAAACACTTATTACATACCACCCTAGGCCAGGCACAATGCCAAGTTTTAGGGACACAGGAATGCATATAGAGTTTTGGTCTTCCAGACAGCTTGCTTTCTGGGGATGTCTGATGTAACCACAGTGGAGCAGGTGAACCCAGACCACAGTATATGAAAAGAAAGGACAGTGGTCTCAGTGTTGGGCCACTTAAGTTGTGATCCTGACTGTCCCCCAGTGTTACCAGTCTTGCAAGTCATTTATGTTTACAGAGCCTCTGTTTTTTTGTTTTTTGTTTTTCTGTAAAATAAGGATTGTATGAGGTGACTTCTGAAGTCCTTCTTCGGAAGGTTCGAGCCCCACATTGGGTGTAGAGATTAAAAATAAAATCTTTAAAGAAAATAAAAATAAAAAATAAAATGGTTGGGGGGAACTTAAAGATACCAGTGTGATTTCTATAGTTTTTGCTACCTGGTGATCCTCTGAAGCATACCTGGAATATTTCTCTGCAAACACATAAGTAACACATCTGCTACAAGGTTCAACATCTTTTTAAAGTGATTTAAGGTTTAAGTTTCTTACTAGATTTAGATTCTTGGGTGCCACACGTGGGGAGGAGAAGAGAATGTTGAGTACCAGAGGTTTTTTGTAAGGAGAGCTTGTGTGGTTGTCGGATCACATAGACCATTATAAACAGATCACCATGCCAGCCCTCATGTCGGTTAGGAATGCATGTGATCACTCTCAAAGATGACCAGTGTCTCACCTTGGCTCTCTGTGAATCACCCATGGAGTTTTGTTTTGGGTTTTGGATTTCTTTTTCTCTTCTTTTTTCTTTATTAGCCACATACATACTTGAGCCCATCCTGAGTCCATTAACATTTGGATCTCAAAGGGTGAAGTCAGCATCTCCATATTTGATGTGGATATGCCTCCAGGTTTGAAAATCACTATAAATAGACTTGTCTGTGAAGGGCAGTCTGGAAGCAGTGACCAACCTAAATAAGCATACACACTTCTTGAGGATGGGTTTTCCTCCACAGTATTCATACATGCTTTGGTAATGACCAGTGTTCCTAAGATCTATCTACATGATTCTAATTAGTAGCCAGTGTTAATCCTCTAAGGTAAATTTAGCTTCAGAATTTTCCTCTTAGTATTTGTTAGTAGAACATCATCTCAGTTTTTCCTAGTTAAGGATAAATTGAAGATGATTAGATGAGTGACCTGCTTTCTTCTCCTTCTTCTTCTTCCTCTTCTTCTTTGTCTCCTTCTTCCTCTCCTCTTCCTCCTCTTCTTCTTCTTTTATTTTTTTAATGAAGATCTACCTGAAGTGTGAATCAATTTGGGAAGGTAGACAAGACAGAACAGTAACATCATCTTCATGTTTATTACTAGCAAAGTTGCCAGAAACAGTTTTTAAAAAATGGTTGTTGATATAAGGCTAATGTAGTTAAAGTTTGAAAATATTCCAATTTTTACTTGACAGAAGAAGAACTGGCAACTCCTCCGCTAGATGGCATCATTCTTCCAGGAGTGACGAGGCAGAGCATTCTGGACCTGGCACGCAAGTGGGTGGGTGCCTTTCACGTGAACCACTTTAGAAGCATGAAACAAAAAGTCATCAAAATGAGCCCGGCTTAGTTCCATCCAGTGTTATCTAATCTTTAAATCTTAACTTGAGTGGAAAGAACTCTTCTAGAAGGACTGACTGTCTCAGTAAGGCCAATATAGAAGTATTGTTTATAGGAAGGGCAGAGAGAAAACAGTTTGGCAAGTTATCCTAGTGAAGCAGTATTCTAGTGCTAATCACAAGCTCTGTAGCAGGTGTCTCCTACCAACTCACCTGGTTTATACTTCATGTGCTTCCATTTCACCAGGCCTGAACTTTTCCAATCTAAGTGTGTTGTTTCCCATTCCAATAATTTATAGTTCTTCCCTTCCTCTATTTATTCCAGTGTAACCATGCTAGTCACAGAAATTAAAGAATTTTACTGACATAAATGTTTACTAACATAACTTTATTAGTTTGGCTGCCTATTTTCTCCCTCCTTCCTGCCCCCTGTCCTCCCCAATTCACATACATGCTTATTTTAAAGTCAAAACACTCAAGCAAATGGAGTTGTTTTCAGTAGAGTTTCTGATCTGTGTGACACAGGCAAGCATGTTAAACCATTTGGTATTGAAATGACATTTATAACATACTCAAGATGAATATTGGATGAGTTGGTTATCTGGCAAAGGTTCTTGGATGGAACTTTTGACCCATGTGTTAAAATGGTCTCCACGGGACATGAAAAGACTTTGAGCATACTGTGGTCAAACAGTATTAATAGGACAAATGTTTAGAAACGCACATATTACCTAGGAGAGTGCTAGCATACTTTCTCTGGAAAAAGCTTTGGAAATAAAGGAAATGTGCTATAAATAATTCTACAAAACCCTGAAGTAGACAAGACCCAACTGCCACATGCTGGCTGGCACATTGGGCATGACATTTACAAACTGTTGGTATAATTTCAAACAGCTTGCCCTGTCCTAAATATGTTTGCAGTTGGAAAGATGTATTTTCGAAGCTCAGTAATTTTTGTTTTATTAAAGAAAAAAATCAACCAAGTACAGAAGGTTTGATGACAAGTTGCAAGTGGAAATGCTTTCCCACACTAATGATTTGCTAGCATGAAATTAGTTATTATGGAGGAAGTTTTTCCTTGACTCCTTAGCTGTAATTTATTTTAAAAGCTATTTTAAAACAGTGAGACATAAATGCCAAGAGGCATGTGGGGGGTTACCATTACTTGCCAGACAGGGGAAATTGTCCAAAGATAAGTAAGGGTGAGCAGAGGAAAAACAATTCTGTTTATTTACAAGAGATTTTTTTTTTTTTCCAGAACACAGAGCTCATCTCATTTTCAGTTAACTTGGCTGATTTTCTGGAATTTATTTATTTATTTATTTATTTACCTTTGAACAACATAATTGAAATTCCAGACTGAGATAAACTGAAACTTGCAAAGAGCCATATTTTCTGTTGTAGACCTATTTTCCGACTCTCCCAAATCATACTTACGGCATGATGCCTTCTTCTAATATTTTGAATCTTGCCAAGGGCTCTGAATTTCATTTTTATCTATTGTGGATCTGTAAGTTTTAAAAAATACTCTTCTTAAAAAAAATTAAGGTCAACAAAGGATGGATAAATACTTTTTTAATAAGTTTGAGACAAACTTTGAACCTTAACCACTAACATAAAAGACTGAGAATTAATACAGATTAAAGAATGAGTTTCAAAAGATCATTTATTTAAGCAGATAGTTTAAAAGCATCAGCTTCCCCCCCCCCCCATTTCCTATTTTGAGCAAATAAAATGTTGAAATAGTTCAGCAGAGTTGATGAGGTTATGCCAGTAATTCTGTGATGAAACTCAACCCAATAGGATACTAAAGAGGAGCAAGGGGATTTCTGCTGTAAAGACAACTGAATCAGTGAATTGAGGAAAAAAAGGAATATCCCATGCAATTTCTCGAAGTCCAAATATACTTTCAGTGTTTTAAAATAATGAAATAGTTCAGGGGCGCCTGGGTGGCGCAGTCGGTTAAGCGTCCGACTTCAGCCAGGTCACGATCTCGCGGTCCGTGAGTTCGAGCCCCGCGTCGGGCTCTGGGCTGATGGCTCAGAGCCTGGAGCCTGTTTCCGATTCTGTGTCTCCCTCTCTCTCTGCCCCTCCCCCGTTCATGCTCTGTCTCTCTCTGTCCCAAAAATAAATAAACGTTGAAAAAAAATATTAAAAAAAATAAAATAAAATAAAATAATGAAATAGTTCAGATAGTTAAACTCAGTCTATGTTTTCACTCCATAGAAGACCTAGTAGAGAGTGGAGGAAATTTAGAGCCAGTCAGATCACACCTGAGTTCAAATTCAGTTTCTGCCGTTTACTAGCTATGTGGATTTAGACATGTCGCTTAGCCTCCCTTTGAACCTTAATTTCTTCATCCGTATAATGGGGATAATAATACCCACCTTAAAAATGAGAGTAGGAGGCATGCAATGGGTGCTGAATAAATAATTATTAATATTATCTAAGAATATGTTCTCTTTTGTGGTGAATAGGGTTCAAGACACTGTTAACATAGAACACACATTAAGTAGCACGGCAAGTGCCTTATCTTGTGAGACTTTAGGCATGGCAACAAATAAAAGGCCAAAAAAGCTGGCATGCATTAAAATATACCCCGTATTTTATAGTGATGGTGTTACGTTATACTCTGATCGTCTTACTCTGATCATCTCGTTTAGTGATGCTGTGACCTTGGAGTAGATTGCTTAACACCTCAGCATGTTTACCAGTAAGGTAGTGGTGCTCTCTTCAGCTTTCCCTCAGAGGATGATTCTCACATGATTTGAGTTCAGAGTGTCAGGTTGAAAGGTTAAGTACGACAGGGCTTATTTTGCATGCCTTTTCCTTGCAAATGTTAATATTTCTATTTTTTATATTCCAAACAGGGTGAATTTAAGGTGTCAGAGAGGTACCTCACCATGGGTGATTTGACAACAGCCCTGGAGGGGAACCGAGTGAGAGAGATGTTTGGCTCGGGTACAGCCTGTGTTGTTTGCCCAGTTTCTGATATACTGTACAAGGGTGAGGTAAGAGACAATCTCTTCACCTCCTGTCATTTCCAAGCATTTGCCTATAATTTATTTAATTCTTTAAATGTGTAAATGAAATGGTAGTTGGACCCAAGATGCAAAGGATTTTTTTCTTTAATAACTTGGCAGTTTGTCCCAATGAACCTGTATTACCAAATTACTTACTCTCATCTTTCCAGCAATTTTGTGCAAGCTCCAGTATGGGAGGGAGTCAGTTTTGTCCTTGGAAATGTATCACATCTGTTTTATGTCAATTTAGGGATTGGAGATGTGCCAATAAGCGTCCATTCTTATTTCTTCCTTTTAGCTTGCTAAGAAGGTTCTACAGGTAATTAGATTTCCGTTTCTGGTTTCCAAAAGTACTCCCAAACTATTAGAGTAGTAATGGCAAACAGTTATGGAAAATTCATTTGAATGATTAACTCCTACATTTATTATTATTGCTTCTGTTGTTGTTATTACTATTTAAACCACTTTATGAAAAATTTTCATTTGGCTAAGTTGGTACATCAACTAAAATCCTCCAAAAAGAATTCAATCATTTGGTTGGAAGAAGTGTTCTCCTCCCAGTGAATTAGTCTGTTTTTATATGTGGTATATTTCCACTCTTTGTTAGTTTTGTTGTTGGTGGTAGTGTTTTGTTTTTATTTTTGTTTTTTTGCTTTCCCCTTTATCACAAAGCTTGGATATTTAACATCGTCGTCTAACTTTATAGCTTAAAGGCATGTGGGTATTATTCTTAGGATGTGAATTGGCTTGACTTAATCATATTAAATACAAACTTGATTGGTTTTTAAATTGAAAATAGATAAATAAAATAATTATTTTTCCTCTGTTACTTTCCTTTTCTGATTTTAATGGTGGCTACTTCATTGCTTGAGATTTTCGAACTTGCTTGTAAGGAGTGGCTTTTAACATGATTCCATCGACAGATTGATTGTTTCAAGGGAGAATTATTTTACTATGTATCAATACTTTTACTGAGTATTAAGCTACTGTTTTGTGTTTCATTATTGTAGTATCTAGGTAAATGCATTATTGGTCCACTTTTTTAATGAACTAAAGTTGTCATGAAGTCACATTTTTTAAGTACAATCATTTCACCTCTAGAAATAAGTTTATAAAGCTCAACGTTTTTATATTGGTCTTGTCTCACAGGGCATGCAGAGCTAAAGGTACATCTTATTACCCTATTATCCTAAAGAGCATAAGAAGAAAAGAGTGACAGCATGGGCTATCTACTGAAATCAGACTATCAAAAGCCTGCAAGCCAGCCAGGCAGGAATGGACATGACTCAAGTGTAAATTAGGGGCAGGAAATCTCTCAGCCCCCAGTGTAATGATGCTGTCCAGCACTGTGGACGTTTGACTTGGAACAGACATAGGTTTAGAAGCCTATTTTGTGAAGGCATAGACTTGCTTTCATATACGTCCCTGCAATGACTTGCTTTAATTTGTGGCAAAAGGTTTTCGAGTTCTCATTCCCTGCCAGAAGAATTAGGTAAGGAGGCCAATCATTCATCCCACAGATTCTCAGAATCCTGAAAGAGATAGGATTCTTTATGTTTGGCCACTATTTTAGGTAGCCCTAGCTCTTTGGTCTCTGTGGTTCCTCATATCAGTCTGAAGACCAACATATAAACCAGTTGTGCCCTAAAATCAGTTGGTAGGCAAGAAACAAACTATCATTGGCTACTTTGTTTTTATTCAAATTCAGAATAGAAAAAGAGTCTTTGGCATAAGGGGTTGGCATAGCCCTTATGATCAGGTTATCATAGTACCATTCCTTATTTCAGTGGGATTGTCTTAATACAGTAGAATTGCTGAGTGTCTTACTTATTATATACATGGATATCCTCCAATTATCATGCCTGTGATATTCTTTCATAGACTGTACACATCCCAACTATGGAGAATGGTCCTAAACTTGCAAGTCGGATCTTGGAAAAATTGACTGATATTCAGGTAAGGGCTTCTTTTTTTAAAAAAGGGCTTCTTTTTATTTCAATCAGAACTAAAACCAAATCATATTTCAGCGGAGAGAAGAGAGTAAACACTGCCATTTGGGGTTAACAAATTAAATTTGTAGAATAAAGCACAAAAGAAAAATATTACCTGTGATTCCAACACTGAAATATAACCACTGTTAATTTTTGATCTCTCAAAAATATTTTGTGTTAATATACTTCTTGAAGTATTTTTCTAACAAAATAGTCATATGTGATCTGTTACCTGCTTTTTTTTCATCCAGCAAATCATTTGCTTTTTTGTATCAATAAATAAATTTCTCCATTCCATGTATAAAATTTAATTGAATTCTGTGATTTGATGTACTGTAACTTTTAAAGAATCATTATTATTGAACATTTATGTTGTTGGCAGTTTTTTTTTTTTTTTTTTTTTTTTTTTTTTTACCTGTTACAAACACTGCAATCTTTGATTATTTCCTTAGGATAAGTTCCTGAGATTGTAACTGTTGGGTCAAAAACAGTGCATACCTATTTTTTTCTACTGCTAACCTTGTTCTGCCTGTTTTTTCCTGAGCAGCAGTTTACAGTGGTGTCTCATCAGACAGTTAAGCATATCTCTAGGCAGGCTTATCAAGTACCACGTAATGCTGGGTCATCAATAAAAGGACTGTTCTATAACTTGCAAAACCCTCACACGTTGTTGGACGATTTTGTTGAGCCCAGATATCATGATTGCCAGTCACTGAACATACCCAAGGGGAGCTGAGATTCAAACTGAAATGTGAAATAAAGTTTGATAGTTTGAGTGACACCAGATGGTTTAGGTCTTAAAACTATACAAAAAAAAAAAAAAAGTTGACAAAACAGCAGGCCCCTCCAGAGCAACTGAGGTCCTGCGATAGTGATAAGAATGGTATTTTTGGAAGACTTACTCAGCAACTTTTATGCAAAATTAGTAAATTACAAGCTAAGAATGATTGTGGTTTTTGAATCGATGAAATGTTGCTCTTTTCCTCTTCAGTAAAGGCTTTCTATAGAAATCCTTCAACTGGGGCCCCTGGGTGGCTCAGCCAGTTAAGGGTTTGACTCTTGATTTTGGCTCAAGTCATGATCTCATGGTTTGTGAGATTGAACCCCATATCAGGCTCTGTGCTGACAGCATGGAGCCTACTTGGGATTCTCTATTCCCCTTTCTCTGCCTCTCTCTCTCTCTCTCTCAGAATAAACATTTAAAAAAATTCTGCAAACTAAATAAAGGAATATCTTAATATTAGAAGACATATAATTTATTGAGTCTTCTACTTTTATACATGAAAACAATTAAAAGTAATTGGAAGAAATTAAATTAATAAGAATATTTGGATGTTTTAGTAATCTAAATTTGTTTACAGTTGAGTAAATCTGATGAAGGTAATAAGTTATTAGTGTTTTGCACAAATAAGAAACAGAAATAGAATAAAAATATATAATTGGCCAAATTATGAAAGCCTTTATCCAAAACAGAAATTGAAAGAATTTTAAGAGGGGAGGCAGTATTTGCAACAACATGGATGGAACTACAGTGTATTATGCTAAGCAAAATAAGTAGCAGAAAGACAAATGTCGTATGATATCACCCATAAGATAAAAACAGATGGGAGACAGACTATAAGAGATTCTTTTTTTTTTTTTTTTAAGAATTTTAAAGTTTATTTATTTTTGACAGACAGAGCACAAGCAGGGGAGGGGCAGAGAGAGAGGGAGACACAGAATCTGAAGCAGGCTCCAGGCTCTGAGCTGTCAGCACAGAGCCTGACGCGAGGCTCAAACCCACGAACTGTAAGATCGTGACCTGAGCCAAAGTCGGATGAGCCACCGACTGAGCCACCCAGGTGCCCCAAGATTCTTAAATACAGAGAACAAACTGAGGGTTGCTAGAGACATGTTGGATGGGGGGATGGGCTAAATGAGTGATGGGCATTAAGGAAGGCACTTGTTGGGATGAGCACTGAGTGTCATATATAAGTTATGAATTACTAAATTCTATTCCTGAAATCATTATTACACTATATGTTAACTAACTTGGATTTAAACAAAAAATAAAGAATAATAAAAAATAAATAAAACTTAAAAATTGGAAGGAAAAGAGGGGAGGTCGTGTTGTTATGGTAATAAGAAAATATCACTTTGGAACCTTTTCTTGAATACATACAGAGGGGAATCCTTCATTTTATCGGACTTAATACACAAAATGAGATCTCAGTACCTCTTGGAGATTATATGAAATAAGAAAATTACCCTTAATTTGATTTGGTTGTAAAGGATTAAAAAAAAAGAAAAAGTCAACTGTATTTGAAAGGGAAAATCAAACTGTATTAAATTTGAATTGGAAGAAAGATCTAAGTAGAGGTGTTTGATGGACATAATCATGAAGCTTTGCCTAAGGCAGGCAAAAGCAGAAATGTTTCCTCTCTCTTGAGATAGTGCCAAAGTATATGCATCAGAACTCTAAGTAAAAGAGAAGCCCAAAGACATATTCCGGGGGGAAGAGGACATGCCATTACAAAAGTTCTCAGAGCATTTTTAAAGTAAGATTATGGATGTAAGATTAGTGAATAAGTGAATGTTTTTGATTAATTCATTCAATAGATATATGTCTTGAGCACAAACAGTGTGCAAGTGCTGGTGCTGGTGATTTAATAGTAGTAGAAGGGATAAAAAAAATTGGAGAAGTCAAAGCTGTAGAGAAACAAAATACTCAATTTAAATGTGAGACCACATGAATACTTTTAAGAATAAAAGATCCATATGAAGCAGAGAATGAGAAGAAACAACATTTTCCTTTTACCTGTATATATTCTCTATATTACTTAGTGCCTGTGGCTAAGAAATTAATTTCTCTCTTTACCCTAGGTAGTAAAATGTAATGGTATTAACACTGAAAATTAATGATACATTCAGAGCTTCCCTAGGAATAAGGAAACAAAAGGGGTGGAGACACAGGATACATGAGATAATATAATGATTCTGAATTAAACCACAAACCAGAAGGACCAACTCTGCTCCAAATTGTTAAGTAACAGAGGACTATCTATTCAGAATCTAAGACCACATCCTTCTTTTTCAATTATTTTATGCCTGTGGGCATGGAACCTAAAGTTTCAAAATTATTCTCTTATAAGATAGCAAATTGGTGCTGTCACCCAAGCTACAGGTGCCTGTTTCTGTCCACAAAAAATAATTTAAGTAATTATTGAGGAAAAAGCGTAGAATTGCATCATGTTTTACATTTGATCTCTTTGACATTACATGAAAAACATGGATATTTCGTAAGAAGTGCTCTGGTAAATTGAAGAGAGCAACAACAACCAATAGACCCAGAAGATTCTTGCCACTCTGACGTGGGGGGTGGAAATCCTTCTTAACCACAGATGTGATTGTCATTTAACTTGTGTGTTTCTGTATATGAGTAAGAACCTCTGAGGTTAAGTATTCATTCCCCTTGGCGAATTTTCCATAAAATTCCATGGATTTTAGATTGCCCTAAAAATACCTCTTAGGAGGGGAGTGTTTCAGTCTTTTTTTTTTTCCCCCTCTTTCTTTTTTCAAGTGACAAAGAAAAACACTTTTGTGTTACTTAACCGGACTTCAGCATGGAGAACATTAGCCATATTGCCTATGTTTCTTTTCTCTTGCATCGCTCTTTGCCAATCTGATTACTCACCATCGTATTCACCAATATGCCTGCTATTGGGATAATCTCTGTTCTCCAATTGACTCTGCTGTCTACTTCTTCCTGCCTTTCTGTACCTTCTACAGTTTGCCTACTCGAGAAGGTATTGGTTGTCTGTCAAGACACATCTCCTTGAGGAACTTCTAAAGTCTGTCTTGAGCAACATCCCTGTCCCCAGTACAAACACGTATTCATCCCCTCAAATATAACTTCTTCTTCCAGCTTCCAATGTACCTGGGTTCCATATCACATATGGCCTTTAAGTTGTATTCTAATTAGTCACACACTTGTCTTTGTTCTAAGGTTGTTTGGATGTAGGAATTGTTTTACTCCCTTCTTGTAACCCCAGTATTCAGTACAAGGCCTGGGCTATCATATACACTCAGTAATGTTTCTTGAATAAATGAATAAAGGAACAAATAAGTGAGTGATATACCAGACAGATACTGAAGGACAAAAACATGTTGCTCTTATATATTAACACATTCTGAGGAGAGGTGGGAGGAAGGCCTTAAATAATATCAAATGACTTTTCTTTTTCTTTTTAATTTTTTTAAACATTTATTTATTTTTGAGAGAGAGAGAGAGACAGAGTGTGAGTGGGGGAGGAGCAGAGAGAGAGGGAGACATAGAATCTGAAGCAGATTCCAGGCTCTGAGCTGTCAGAACAGAGCTCTACGTGGGGCTCAAACCCATGAACTGTGAGATCATGTCCTGAGCCGACTAAGCCACCCCAGGCGCCCCACATATTACTTTTCGAGAAAACTTTGAGCGAACCTGATTTTAGACATTTTTAAAGTGAAATACACATACCAAGACTGCTGTTGGAATCAAATAAAAACCTGGAATCCAGGCCTTAAATATCAGGGCAGCATGTTTGTGTAACTAGCAGAGCTGCTGTTGAGGTTTTAGGAAGTGGGAAGTAGTGATTGCAAAGACCTGAGAGGTGGAAGTCCTGTTCTGTTGTGTTTTTTTTAATTAATTTATTTTTTTAAATTTGTATCCAAGTTATTTAGCATATAGTATAATAGTGATTTCAGGAGTAGAATCCAGTGATTCATCCCCTATATATATAACACCCAGTGCCCATCCCAACAAGTGTCTTCCTTAATGCCCCTTGCCCATTTAGCCCATCCCCCCTCCCATAAACCCTCCAGCAACCTTCAGTTTGTTCTCTATATTTAATATTCTCTTATGTTTGTCCCCCTCCATGTTTTTATATTATTTTTGCTTCCCTTCCCTTATATTCGTCTGTTTTGTCTCTTAAATTCCACATATGACTG